ATGGTTCCACAGGGTTTCACCGGTTGCCGCGTGAGGAGCGCGGCGGCAAAATTTAAAACAGCCCAGCGGTGCACCCCGTCAGCATAAAAGTGGGACTCCGGCCCCGCTTCTCCAGCGGGGGGTTGCGCTCCAGCGGGTGCGGGCAGCTTCCCAACGCACTGCAGCGGCTGTCCCGCTCCAGCGCTCCAGGACTTTCCAGGAGCTAACAATAGTCGGGGCTCTAGAGGCTTTCGAAGAATCCCGACAGACTTCAGAGCAGCTCCGAGATTCTCGCGCAGGCTGCTTCACCACAGCTCACAGGTTGTCATCAGCAGGATTTCGCTAGTCGTTCCCTGGAGCCTGTTGAGGCCAGAACTTCAGTCCTCGGGAGATGAACTTCAGAGGGGCACCGCAGAGAGTGTTGAGTAGTCTTCGGGGAACCTCCAGTTCTCCGGGTCGTGTCGGGCAGCGGGCTGCGGCGAGACGGAGCAGGGGGAGAGCAGAGGGCGGAGGGCTAGGAGGGCTCATAGGGCACTGCACACAATACCCCAAATGGATCTTTGAATCGGGAAAGGATTTTGGCCGCTTTTGTGTGTGTGGCCCCTCTGGCTAACCCACGGCCACCCCGCTGCGCTACGCCGCGACAGTCGGAGGGACGAGGCGGCAGCAGTAGTGGAGGTGGTTGAAGTGGCCGAGGCAATGATCTATCAGACACCAGGCCTAATCCATTTAATGAAAGTGACATACTATCACCAATATAAATTCCCCTCACACAGAGACACACGGACACAGGTGGCGGCCACCGAGCGCATTGCTTCCACCTGCTTGGCTGACAGGCGCGCTGCTGCCCCATTCAGAGGGGGATTGCGTCGCGGTTGGTTTACTCCCAGGTATTCGCTACTGGGGGTGGCGCTGTAACGAGCTTCGAGGAGAAGAAGAACAAGAAGAAGAGGAGGAGGCAGGGCAAGGAGAAAGGGATGAAACTCGAGCAACACGTATGCATGTCCCAGCTTTGTGAAATCCACCCCGCCCCGGAGAGCCCTGCCTCTTTTGTTTTTGAAGACGTCGCTGCTGTTGTTGTGGAAGTAGTGCGTGTCCTCGTGCCTGTGTGAGTGAAAAATACGCGTGGGGGAGCACGGCACGGCGCTCGGTTTAACTCGTCCCAGCTCGGGCCAACCCTAACCGTGTCGGCTCTCCCCCACCGCGTGCCCCCGGCCGGAGCATCTGCATATTTGCAAGTGAATGAGGCCCCGGCCGTGCCGGCCCGGCCCCAGGTCCGTGCCGAGAGTGGGCATATCCGGGCAGAGAATGGAATTCACTCGAATGCAATTGTCTCTGGAGTTTGGGGTGCTGATTAGCGTGTCAGCGTTCCGTCCGGGAGGAAACTTGTTTATCTCAGCCGTATTGCCCTGTTGCGCGTTCTTTACGTTCACCGTCTAGCTGAATAAGGCCAGGTCACGTTTCCCGTTGAGTTAGGATCAACATCGCCCTTTTTGTCGCGCCCAGAATCATTTTTCGGCAGATTCTCAACTTGGAGACCCGCAGTAGTATGGACACCTTATTGTTACTCCCATCAGGTGAGGGTTGCCCCAGGTGACTTCAATGCCAGGTGGAAACTCTAACCCTTCGACTTGCTGTCAGTATCGTTTGGTAGAAAACAAAGGATATTTTTCCAGAGTCGCTGCCCGGACGTCTTGTAGCGAAACTGCAGCAATCGGATTCACCACGGTCGGCAGCCTCTCTGTCTCGCTCTCCGTTTTCTCCCCCGCTTTGATGACGAGGGCGATGCGGCTTCCTTTCCCAATTTGCTTATCGTAAGTGAGTTACGTTATTGATATCTCCCTTTGCCCCAAATGAATTACTTTGTCTCGATTGTGCTGTTTGAGCGGGCGGGGGGTTCTTCCGGCCGCGACAGTGGACCGGAAGTTTCGATTACGAGGACGGGAGGACGACACTAACTGCGAGTTCGGTTGGGTAGTCTGTGGCATCCAGACCATCCAAACAGGCCTCACCAATCTGTTCCTCTTTGAAAGAGAAAACGATTGATACCGTCGCGTGTTTGATTCCAGACTTCGGTGCGGTCTAGGCGCACTATAAAAAGCGTCCCGATTGGTTGGCTGTCGCTGACTTTGTTATTGTTTAGTTGTAGCATTTTTGTGTCGCTGCTCGTCCCCGACTGGGGTGGCGGCCGTAGCCGGGCCGTGGCGGCGCCATGCTGACAGCCCATAAATTCAGCGCTACCAACCCCGGCTCCCCTCGCCCCGCCAGGCCGCCAACAAATGCCCTGACATAATTCCCAAAAAGTTTGCAGCGATCTGCGCGACGCGCGGTGATACCGGTCGGGGGAAGTTGGACATTATTAGGCAAAGTGGGGTTTTGTGGCGGTGCCGAATGAAAACGGCAACAACTTGATAACCGTCGTCGCGGTGCTCTCGTGGGTCCGCCGTGCGCTCTCGCTCCCCTCACGACCAGGGAGATGACGGCTATGAATATCGTCCCCGGGACGGCACCCTCGCGACGACGGCCCCGGGACGGACCCTCAACGACACCCATAACCGGGACGGGCCCGGCCTCTGTGTGCTGGTGGCGCGTGCTCGGCCCGGCCTCCTCGAAGCAGGCCGTCGTCTTGCCGTCGTCTTGCCGTCCCGTCGAGTCGCCTGTGATGCGCGATGGCCGCGATGCCACGGCGACGCCACGGCGATGCCGCGTTCGGCTCCAATTTGCGTCGCAGCTAGGACGCATTCCGCGCCGCCCTCCTGTCCCTCGCTATCCCTGCCTCGCACTCAATAAGGCTGCCGGGCCGCAGGGATTTTGATGAAAACAACAACAAAAGTAAGAGCATGTAACCTTGCCGAAGGCACCTGGAGAAAGATGCTGCTTTCTCATATTTTTGTTCGTTTTGGCTTTTTGGTTCTGGATTTGATGTGGAAATTCTCCGCTGTAGGATTTTTTGTCCGCGAAGTCGTCGACGCCCTCTGCCCTCCCCGCCGAACAGAAATAATAACGAAACCGGAAACAAGTCCCAGGGCGGCGGGCGGAAGCGGGCGGAAGCCCCTTTTGGAAAAATACTGGGATTGCAGCCCTTGTCCAGCGGCGGGGTCAGGCCGGGAAGAAGACCCTGCGCGACAGTCGCGGCCCCTTTATGACTTCCTTTTGGGGCAATAGGGGTCGTATCTCGTCTATCGCTTCTCAATTCCTCCTCCCTCGCCGCCCCTCCCATCCTCCCCCATCCTGTTTTGGTACACATGCGCGCGTGCCGCCGCCCGACCTGGTTCGAATCCCGCCGCCCCCGTCCGTTTTTGCTTTTTCAAGTTATGGCCGACTTTGGCAAAGTTGTCATCCCTCGAAGGCAAAAAATAAATAAAAGAAAGCAGAAACAACAGGCTGTTGTCGCTTCATTGAGGATTCGCAATCTACGTGATGGCGGCAGGGAAAGGCAGCCCACGCCGGCCGGGGCGCCAAAGGCAGCGGAAAGAGGATAATGATGAAACTTTGCCTTGGTGACGTGGAGCCGCGCGGAGTGAGAGCCGCCATGGCGCACCGCCACCTCCATCACGAGGCCATCAAGTTAGCCTCGGGCTTAGGCTGGCTCATCCCACGGCGCTCAGGCCGTTCGATCTGTCGCCGACGATTTTGGGTATCTCGTCATCTCGAAGGGCACGAGCGAGCTCCACTAGACAAAATCGATTCCCAATTTTTAGAAACGTTGAAAAATTTCCGCCGCTTGTGTCATTTTGCTCGTTTTCGAATGACACCACAGGCTATTGCGAAAAAATGACAATGGATAACTGGCGGGTCTGATTGCGGGCTGACTTCTCTTCGGGTACTTTGCATATTTTTCGCTTTACGGCACCAATGGAGGCTCAACTTGGTTAGGGGTGGCCGCCACTTCCCACTTAAAGATGATTACATCGTCAGCAAATTATCAAATCACTGAGGGGGAGCGCCGCCGCGGCCTGGCCGCCGCTGCGTTCTCGGCGGCCACCTCCCGGCCACCGCCTTGCCACCGCCTTGCCACCGCCTTGCCGCACTCGTCACCGCCTGGCTCTTTTGGCGCCGTCCACTCCCGTTTCGGGACGATGATGAATTTTAGCACGCATCATTTAGCGGAATCTCTTCCGCTGGGTTGACGAGCAGACAGACAGACGACAGACAGACAGGTGGACAGACAGGAAACAGGGAGCAGACGAGCCGCGCCCGTCGGCCTTTGTTACGAGGCTGCGAAGCGAATGCTTTTTGTTTCGCCCATTTTCCGGAGGGGGAAACTCTGTGTCATCCTGCAAGCACAGCCCTTTGCTTCGGCCCCCTTCCCTTTCTCTCCCTCCCCCCTTCTCTCCCTCTGTCTCCCTCCCTCCCTCTCTCTCTCTCTCTCTCTCTCTCTCTCTCTCTCTCTCTCTCTCTCTCTCTGTTTCTTTCTCTGTCTCTTTCTCTCTCTGGCTCCCTTGACGCGGACGTGATGGGTCCAGATCAACTCAAGATACATATCCGTGCCGGGGGATTCATCCCGTGAACTCGCCGGCATATATTTAATTTCCGCTCTGGCTTGTCAAACATAATTTGCATGCAATAAACGAACGAGGCTGTATAGAGAGACCCTCCTCTGGGTGAGTGTGTGTGTGTGTGCGTGTGCGTGCCGCTGCGGGGGTGCTCGCCGCGGGAGTGGCAGCGGGGTGGTGGTGGACGGCGGCGAGAAACCACTGAATCGAAGGCTGGAGTGCGCGGCGCTTCGCTTGGCGCTTCGCGCGGCCTGGTAGGGCGGCACTGGAGAGAGGCAGGCGGTGTCACCAAGCTCGCCGCGCTCGGCCCGCTGCTTTCGGCTCCATATCGAGACCCGCGGGCGGAATGGGAATGGGGGTGTGTTCTCCCTGGAGAGGAGAATGGAAAGGCCTTGAAGCCCTTTGGTTCGCGCCACTGGAGAAACAATGCCAAGGCAGTCGGGCGGGGGTGACTCGAACACCAGTTGTCGATTTGGAGGTTAGGTTGGACCTGGAGGGTTCTTACGGTGTCGTTCCCTGTTGCAGCACCACCGGTGCGGGCGGCACGCGCCAGCAGGGCTACGAGGAGCTGGAGCTGCCCCAGAAGGGGGGCCTGGGCGGCGGCGAGTGGGCCGAGACGTCCCTGCAGGAGAAGAGCTTCGGCGGCGGCACCCCCGAGTCGCTGCCCGAGATCGAGCGGCCCAAGCTGCGGCACATCGACAAGTACGTCCGCGCCGAGTTCCCCTGCCTCTCCAAGCGCTACACCGTGGCCGTGCTCACCTGCGTCGGTCAGTAGTATGTGACGGTACATGTAGTACGTGTCGGTGAGTAGCGTGTTTCAGCAATGTTCTGGGTTTCAGGTTTCATGATTTCGTTCGGGATGAGGTGCAACATGGCGATGGCCAAGCTCCAGTTTGCCAAGGTGAGTGTCTCTCCCCAGACAGACGGGGACTAACCACCGTTCTCAATAAAGCAGCGCCCGCCGCTACGCTGTGGTAAAATATGATGTTCGCGACGGCGCGGCTACTCGGCGGCAAGCAGCCCTTGCATCCAGCGGCAGGTCCTCCATCACCTCCTCCAACTCCTCCCCCGCCTCGGCACGCGCCCACACTAATTGCCTGTATAGCGCCCCGCCCCGCCACCCCCAGTCGGCTCTATTAGTGTATTAACCGTGGACGACGGCGGCACGGCGCCACCAGCGCGCCGGCCCGCCAGGCCGCCAGGAGAATCAATGACGACAGGTAAAATGTGAGCAGTGAGGCGGAAACAGAATGGACTATATAATGCGAACGCGCGCGACGCGAGCGACTCCCCCGCCAGAGATTGCATCGCCCGCCCATGGCCCGCACCGCGCGCGTGGGAGTGTGTGTGTGAATACGTGGGCGCCCTCGCTCGTGTGCGTGTGTGTTTCTATTTGTGTTTTTTGTCGAACCTGGATGTGCCGCTAATAGTGCAATAAACACGACCGGGGGCAGCCAGGTGGAAGCCACCGCCGAGGCGTGGGACCACGCCGCGTACACTGCCAACAAATAGGGTTCTAAAAACTAAATAAACAGTCCGAATTTTTTTTAAAAACAATTTTTTCTAAAGTATGACTTAACATTTTTCGCCGAAGCACGCCTCAGACTCAGGTCACGGAAATATAATTTTTTTCAGAGCGGCTCACACCAGAACATTGTCCACTATTGTGGTAGCTTCAAAAACTTCGCGCTCTTTGTGTTTTATTTTTGCTGTCGTCTTTTTTGTTGGGAGCTTTGCAGTGTAGCTCGCGGCGCCGCGATGCGTGCGTGACTGCTAATCTGGTCGATTCGTGTTCCGTGCCTCCGCCGTGCCTCCGCCGTGCCTCCGCCGTGCGTCGGCCGCAGACTTGTTGATCTCCCGGCCGCGGTATCGCACTGTAAAAAGTGAAAAGGCCGTCGTCAACAACAACAAAAACAACTCGGAGAGTGTCATTTTGGCGCATAATATCGCGAGCGCAGCGCTGTGCCTTTGACGTTGCCGAGTCGGCCGGGCTCGGCTTCCCAGCGTTGTATCGCAGTGTACGGCAGTGTATCATAGCGGTCCGGTGCGGTCGTAATTAGCCGCCAGAGAGACAGAGACAGGGCGAGAAGCCGTGCATCAGCCACTGGAGAGGGAGAGAGAGGGAGAGAGGGGGTGAGCGAAGCGGTGGCGGGGCCGGCCGGTGGCAGAGCATGGCAAAGCATGCCAAAGCCCTAGTAAGAGGACTTTCCGTGGTTTCAGCCCCGCCGAGCGTCAGCCGCGCCAGTCGCGCCGTCGCTCCGTCTCGCTCGCTCTCGTGGGTCGTTCCGCAGGGGTGCGAGAGAGAGCCATTGGGAATGATGAGTCTCCAGCCAAGCCCCGTGGAAGCAGAGCGAGCAAGCCGTCAGTACTCATCTCATGGCCAGGGCCGGGAGGGCCGGGCCTTGCAGGGCTGTGGCGCCACCAGAGGGTAGTACCCACCCACCCCTCCGAGAGAAGGGCTGTGCCGATACCCCACGCACAAGGCCGGACAAGGTCGGACAAGGCCGGACAAGGTCGGACAAGGTCGGGCAAGGTCGGACAAGGTCGGACTAGGTCGCACAAGGTCGCACAAGGTCACCCGGGGTATTGTCAAAGGGGTTATTTTGCGATGCTGCGGTCTGCTTGGCGGGGGCTATCGCCACGAAAACGCGGGCCCCTTCAAACCGCGGCCCCCTTCAGACCGCCGCCCCCTTCCCACCGCAGGCCACATCCTCCTTTTTGCTCGGCGCATCCTCAGACCGAGGTTTCCCTGACGGGTCCTTCTCGCCGCCCCATGATGGGGTGGCGACGACGGCATCAGTCTCTCTCTCACCCCTCCGGCCCGCCCCGCGAGTGCAAGAGGGACAAGAGAGTGCCGTTCAGCGGAGGCGGCCGCGGCGACGTCTCGCAAGAACAAGAAGAAGTGCGAGATGCTGATGCCAGAACCACACCACCACAAGTGGCGCGGTTAAATTAATAGAGTCTGAATAGGACAATGAGTCTGCGCCGCCGAGGCCGACGCGGCCGACGAGCCCATTGGAAGAGCCAGATTGGCTCGCCGTGCCAGGCGCACGCCTTCGCGTCTGCAAGCATTGATTCGCTCGTGAGCGGAAAAGAGGGGAGGGGTAATTTCCAGTTTCCCAAAAACATTTGAAAAATTGCAAAAAAAAGGAAAAACTTGTAAAAAGCCTCAACTTTACTCCCTTTTTCAGTTTGCCAATGTTGCGTTTTATTCCTCAATTGTTGTCATAACCCTTTGAAAAATAATTTTAACAAATTTTATTGTGACAGTGTCGCCGCGGTGCCGCGATACCGCGTTGACACGTGTTGGACGCCCTTCGCAGTGCTTTGCAGTGCTTCCGAGGCAGTGGTGCGTGTCAGAGGGACAGAGAGAGCGAGAGGGAGGGAGGGAGGGGGGGAGGGGAGGAGGGGGGAGGGGCAGGGTGTGACGCGGTGGTCGTGACTTTATACATTCACATCTTTGTTTCCGCGCTCGCACATCGCGCGCCTCTCCGCGTAGCCAGAGCGGCGGCAAGCGCACAGTGTAGCGGCATCGCGAAAGCAGTGCGACGAAGACAAGCAGCAAACTAAGAAAAAGCATGAGGCAGCGCGGCAGCGAAGCTAGGGGAGGCGAAAGCACGAGATATCCCTTGAGGTCATGCCACTCCGCTTATCAGCGAATGACCTCGGGCATGGCCACTGCCTCGGCCACTGCCTCGGCCACAGGACCTCCACCAGGACCTCCACCAGAACGTCCAGCAGGGCGACGGCGACGGCCTTATCCCATCCATTGTCATTTCCCCCTTTCCCCTCACAGTTTCGCCAAAGCACTGCTTTTCCGCTTCACTCTTAGTTTTTTTTTCTTCCTCCCGTCGTCGTCCTTTGCGCTCTGAGTCCGGCTAGGGTTGGCCTGGCCGCCCTGGCCGCCTCCGTTTTTCATGTGGGAATGCAGTGACCGGCAGCACTGCCAACGCACACACGCACACACACACCAGAAAAAAAATCTCTGCGAAAAAAACGGGACGACGTTGGCGGGAGTCGAACCCGCGCCGTCACCGCCGCAGCCTCATTTAGCGGGACGCGCTCCCTCGCCGCCGCCGCCGCCTTCACTGTCCATTCTGAGGCGAATCCATCATCGGCCGGGGATGTCACGAGTCGGATCTGCACTTTCTGCTTGATTGTGCCGAGGGGTGGGGGAAGCGCCGTGTCGCGCGACTTCGGGAGGAGTACTCACCCTTGGCGTGTGTGAGTGTGTTTGTGTGTGTGAGAGTGTTTGTGTGAATGTGTGTGTGTGTGTGCGTGACATGTAGCGGTGTGAACGTCATAAATCATAGAGCTGCACCTTTAACAGTTCGAGCCATTAGCTACTGCACTGTGGGTGGTGACTACTGTCGCGTGGCCCGCGACTCTGTGCTCTGCGGGCGCGGCCGACTGGAAGTCCGGAGTTTCTCTCTCTCTCTCTCTATCCCTCCATCTCTCCCTCGATGTGCTTCTCTGCCAAGTTCCGACGACAAACATTTAAACGGCGACCCCGGCGAGGGTATCGTCCCCGCAGCCCGCGGGGGTGAGTTTGTTTCAGGCCGCGTTTCAGTTGCTGTCTCTCGCGGACTCCTGGTGGGGCCACCCGACGCACGGGTGCGAGAGAGACAGAGGCCCGCTTCAGCCAGCCGGCTTCACAGCCTGGTTCGTGTTGGCCCACGTGACACGGTGGGCACGTTGCGCGCAGAGGTACCTCACCCCTTTGTGCCCCCCCCCCCCCCCCCCCGCCACCCCCGCCCCCCACCCGCCCCGCCACCCCGGCCCGCCCCGCCCCACGCCGCACCCTCTTATTGTTACAAAACAACTCCGGGCCGGGCCGGGGACACCCTCGCCTAGATCGGTAATGGAAGCAGACATAAATGAAATGGAATAAAACGGCCAAAAAGGTTTTGTCGATAATCCAGTTTCGGGTAAACTGAGAGAGCAAGGGAGGCGCGTCGTCGGCCGCGGGAGGGAAATTTCTCGGAGTAACGTTTGGTTTGCTTGCAGGTGTTCGCGAACGACTCGGCGGAGCCTATGGACCACGGCCTGGGCGTGCTCAACAACGCCACGCCCAGCGCGCACCTACCCACGGGACATGTAACGTACCCCGCCATTTCGTTGTTGTTTTACATTTCATTCTCCTAGGCCACCCTTCGATTTTTTTTTGGCAAGCACCGCCAGACACATTTCATTTCCCTCCTTATCGTGGAGGCGCAGCAATAAAATTGATGCGATTTCTGTAGCATGTCGAGTGAAACCAATAAGATAAGGAGAGAAAGGAAAGAATGTCGTCGCCGCCATTTTGTTTCGTTTGCCCATCTCGCTTCCTTCTTCTTCTCACATGTGCTCCTTGTCTGACTTCTGTTCCTCCTTTCCTCCTCTTCCTCCACCACCTTCTTCTCCTCCTTCTTCTCTTCTCCTTCTTCTCCTCGACCTCCTCGGCTTGGTTAATGAAGCACTCGCGTTTAGCTGAACTGGTAAGGACCCGCCGCCGGCTCGGCTGGCTGGAATTCGCGTTGAGACTCGCCGCGCTCTTTGTCCGACGAACCGACTCAATTTCATTCAATTTGATTTAATTTGGCTTAATTGCCGTCGCGTCTGCCTCACCCCGCGGCGTGCGCGTTTTGCAGGACCTCCCGCACCGGCAGTGGTCCGTGGCCACAGAGAGCATGGTGGACTCGTCCTTCTTCTGGGGCTACCTGGTCACGCAGGTGCCGGGCGGCTTCCTGGCGTCCAAGTACCCCGCCACCAGGTAAGGCCCGGCTAGACGGCCCACTATGCGGCCGCCGCGTTTTAGACTCGTCAGCACTTGACGCAATGTTTCCGGTGCGCAGGATCTTCGGGCTGGCCATCGTCACGTCCTCTGTGCTCAACCTCCTGGTGCCCGGCGCCACCGAGATCCACCCCAGCGCCGTCATCCTGGTGCGAATCTGCCAGGGTCTCGTCGAGGTAAGGTCGGAGGGGTCCCCGGGGTGTCCACAAGCGAAAACACAATTTATTGTGTACGTTTTGGTCTGGAAACATACGTCCAAGTCGACCGACAAGCCGCCACGCCGTCCTCTCCAAGTTCCTTCCCGTGCCTAAGCTGCGTAAACCGCTTGGGCCGATCCGGGAATCGAACCCGCGCCCCGCGCCCCGCAGGTTGGCATCCGTGACCACTCGGCCACGCGTCCGTCTCGCTGCGCTCGCCCCGCTAAGCCGCGCCTGATCCCACTTGAAACCGGCGCCCGTTTAGGAGCGGCTCGCAAATCCCTCTCGATGGCCGGCGGGCTGTTTAGGGGTGGACGGGGCGGGGCGGGGCGGGCTCCATTTTCGTGGACTGCGCGGATTTGTGCGATAGGGCGTCGCGCGCTAATACACACGGAATCCACTCCACTCTGCAGCGGCGCAGCGCGTGGCGCCGCATTTATGCCGCCAACTTGCGATCATAACCGCGGGCAGTCATGTGCATGTGCGAAAGAGGAAACGAGTTTCTGCTGATTGTTACTGTTTGTTGTTGTTTCTGTTGCGTCGCGTTTTCTTTGCGCTGCCGCCTGAAATACACTTCTGCGGTCAGTAGTATGGGCACCCCACTGTTACCCGCGCCACAAATACACTTCCGTGGTCAGTAGTTAGGCAATCACTGTTGCCCACCGCCTACACTGTGACTGGCACGTGGCTCGCAGTGTGCCACCCGGTCGTGCTCTGGCAGCTCTGCTCTGCCTGCAGGGCTTCACCTACCCGGCGTGCCACGGCATCTGGCGCTACTGGGCGCCGCCGCTGGAGCGCTCGCGCCTCGCCACGCTGGCCTTCTGCGGCTCGTACGCGGGCATCGTCATCGGCATGCCCCTGTGCGGGCTGCTCACCAGCGTCATCTCCTGGCGGGCCTCCTTCTACACTTACGGTACGTCCCCCACCCTCACTCCTAGAAGGAGCACTGTTTGGCCTCGAGTGTGACGGCCGTGCGGCTCGCAGGCTTCCTCGGCATGATCTGGTTCGCCACCTGGATGTGGATGGCGTTCGAGCGGCCGTCCAAGCACCCGTTCATCTCGCTGACGGAGCTCAAGTACATCGAGGAGTCGCTGGGCAAGCAGACGCAGGTGGCCATGCCGACGATCGCCACGACGCCGTGGAGCTCGTTCCTCACGTCCATGCCCGTGTACGCCATCATCGTGGCCAACTTCTGCCGCTCCTGGAACTTCTACATGCTGGTGCTGTTCCAGGCGTCCTTCCTCATGGAGCGTTTCCACCTCGAGATCGCGGAGGTGGGTTCGAGTCCCGATCGCGCCACGATTTTTTTTTCGCGCGCGGATGGTTTCAACTTGCGGTTTTGGTTGCAGACGGGCTTCCTGGGCTCACTGCCGCACTTGGTCATGACCATCATCGTGCCCTCCGGCGGCCACCTGGCGGACACACTGCGGAAGCGCAAGATCCTGTCCACCACCATGGTGCGCAAGCTGTTCAACTGCGGCGGCTTCGGCATGGAGGCCCTGTTCTTCCTCGTGGTGGCCTACACCACCACGGCCAAGGGAGCCACCTGGGCGCTCACCTTCGGCGTGGCCTTCAGCGGCTTCGCCATCTCTGGTCAGTGCACTGTGAGGATCTATTTGCACGTTTGTGCCGACTGCTGGCCCGCCATGCTGGAGCCAAGCAGGGCAACGAGTGGATGGACTCAGCCCTGGGGCTCAACCCTCTTACCTCAGGCAGCGTGTGTGCGCGCCCGGATCATGTCTGCGCCGCGCTCTTATGCCAATTCTGTGTGTGCGTTCGGAGCCCGTCCACACATGTGTGTGTGCGCAGTGTATGATGCCCGTGTGTGAGGATCCACATTGATGGGCCTGCGGATAAGAGAGAGACGGAGAACCCTTTGAGGATTGGTGTGCCCGCCCCAGCAGCTCAAGCAGTGCCTGCCCGTGGAGGGGTGGGGGTGGCTCTCCTGGCGCCTCCAGGCTTCCAGGGGCTGCTCGCGGCCGCGCGCTGCCGCCAGTCGGTCCGCGGACGCCGTCGGTGCCGGTCGCACCCTCGGAGTCCCTGGCCTCGGAGCGTCGGAGGGCGGGGTGGCGCGGCCCGCTCGCCCCGCCCTCCGGACCGCCCGCCCCGCCCGTCCCGCCCGTCCCGCGCACGCGCCCGATTCAAAGTTCCCGCGCGAGTGGCGCGCGCAGCGCTCCGCCCCGAGTTCGAGTACCGGCTACCGCAGTGTCGTGAAAAATTATTTATTTTTTTTGGATACCTGTTATCTCTGTGAGTTGTGATAGCGTCATCAGTTCTTCCTTTTCGGTGCACCCTATTTGACTGTCGTGCGTTCTGCCCGCGTGGTGCTGCAGCGCGATGAACGCCACGCGAACCTCCATCGCCGGATGGGTTCGGGTTCGATGCCTGACGACTGCTTCCTTTTTCGGCAGGCTTCAACGTGAACCACCTGGACATCGCGCCACGCTACGCGTCCATCCTCATGGGCATGTCCAACGGCATCGGCACCATCGCCGGCCTGCTGGTCCCCATCGTCATCGACAACATCACCAGCGACAGGGTGAGTCCGGACATTTTGTTTGCGAGTTACCGATCTGCCGAGATGAAACACCCCCACTGCAAAGCCAGTGGTAAGTTTGCTTGCCACAAATTTGGCAAGCCGTTTTGAATGCCAAAATTTGGTAAGCTTTTTTCGGAAATCTTCATAAGCTTGCCAAATTTTGGCAAGCTAGGCGGTATTTCCGGGCCAAGCTAACCAATTTTTGGCACTCAAAACGGCTTGCCAAATTTGTGGCAAGCAAACTTACCACCGGCTTTGCAGTGCCTCTACGTTGGGACGGTCCGTCGGGCCTGACAGGCCTACGATCATTTTCGGTCTAGCCAACTAGCAATGGCAACGACCCACAGTGGGTCAGAAGACCGGTGGAGGTGGCCAAAACTGTAGACACGTTTTGAGCTCCAGAGTCGTTAAATGGGACTCGAAGCGAACGTATCACCCCACCAATGGATTGCTCTCTGAACGAGGCCGGTGGAGTCACACGCTCCCGTCACGAGTCCCATTTAGCTCAAAACGCGTCTAGAGTTTCGGGCGCCTCCACCAGTCTCCTGGCCCAGTGTGCGTCCGAGCCCGCGCGCCTGCGAGGTCCAGGGTAGGCAACCCGCCGCACTGCCCTGCGACGCAGCGCGGGAGCTGGCCTACCCTGCCATTGCCATTACCATTAAGGGCTAGACCACACATGATCGTATGCCATTTCGGGCCCGGCCTGCGAATCCCGTCTTTTGAACTCGAACTTAAGCAAAGCATGAACCATTTATTCGGAATTTTAATTTTACTCAAAGCCCAGAAAAAAAATAGGTCTCTATCTATTTTTATGCGAATGTTCTGAAGTCAACAGTTTGAATGTATCGAGGGAGGTAGTTAAAATGTTATTATGAAATTACAGGGAAGCCAGTTGTTTGAAACTCGGGATGATCGGTTCCTTATCGATAAAAGTGCACTGTCATGTTCATCTGCCTGATTTATTAATTTAAAAAAAATACGATTTCAAGAAATCCTAGGAGTCACGAAGTCAATTTGGGTAGGAGTGTGGGGAAAGCAAAAAAGTTATGTAAAAGGTAGGGGGTGGCTCAAGTGTGGCTACGAATGACAGTGGTACCAATGTGGTCGATGTGCCACCCGTCAAAATTTAACCTTGGCAATAAAGAGAAATCAAAATGCCGGGAAATTCGAAAAATTCCAATGCTAATGTATTCCACAGTGATCCGACAAAGGAACATCTTTGAAGTCCATCATTATGAAAATTTTGGTTGCAGAAAGAAGGCAGTAAATTAATTTTCGCGGGCTGGCAACAATTTTGTCGGCGTCTGCGCCCTTGCGAAAATCGCGAAGCTGAAAACACGAGTATAGTCGCGCATTAAAACCGCCCCTCCATTGTTGCTGACGTTGAATTGTTTGGCTTGTTTCAAAAGGCTACGGTTCTCTAGTCATGTTTTCTTCAATTCTGTGTAATAGTTCTCACTCACAACGTAGCAACACCACGACGGTTGGCTTGACAAACTTTATAAACTCGAGAGGGATGGTCTCGAAACGCGGGTGAGTCTTGTTCAAAGAACATGAGCTCTGAAAGTAGCGAGGTGGAGCGAAGTGATCATGGTGCTAACTGAATCAGAAGTACCATCGAACCTGGCTAAAAGGAGCAGCTATATGACCAGCTTATTCCAAAAGAGACTAAAAGTCTTAAAGCGACTCTTAAACTACATTAAGGAAAGATAATTCACAGATGCATGTGCACAGGTACGCAGTTAAATGGCTCAATTCACTCCGATTTGAAGAGTAACAAAAATTTTCAACAAAACAACAGCAAAAACAACAACGCAGCGCTGCGGGATTGGTGCGGGACACTCTCATAAAAAGTCACTGGCCGGCCGGCCGATCCAAATGGCCACGTTCGAAACGACACCAATTCTATTGTTGCATCTTGTCTACCTGCAGTCAAAGAAATTTTTCATTTCGAACGTGCTATTTCAGCTTTTGGAGTAAGCTGTACAGACCCAAAAAGAAGCTCCGCTATTGGTCCGGCTCGGCTCGGCTCCCCCTACTCCCTTTTTTTTCCTTTGACGAGTCGAGTTTTGCCATGGAAACGGCGATTTTGACAGCAAATTTCTCAAAATTGGCCGTTGACTTTTTTACCAGATTTCGGCATCAGAATCAGCGTTCAAAGTTCTACAAGTCTGCAAAATCTCATTAAAATCGTATAGAAAATTTCCGAAATGCATAAAGGGCCACACAAATCGAATCTCGGGCCGGCTGAATCCTGGGTATACTATAAGGCTACTTCGTGCCTAAAAAATTCCTTTGAAAAGATAATTTGTTTCCACCAAAAACATCTTGGCTTCGGCACTGCTCCTCACGGTCCCCCTCCTCCTTGCCCTGCCGCAGAAACCGGAGAGCTGGACCCCGGTGTTCATCTCGGCGGCCTGCGTGCACTTCTTCGGCGTCATCTTCTACGGCCTGTTCGCCAGCGGGGAGCTGCAGTCATGGGCCGAGCCGCCCCCGGAGGAAGGCATGGCCGCCGGCGGCAAGCCCTGGGACCCCATGGAGGGCGCGGCGCCGCCCCCGCGGCCCGCCCTGCCGCCGCCCAGCTACTCGGTGAGCCCCCAACTTGTCTCATTAAAAACAAAGTCTGCGAGTCAGCCCTGCGGCCTGGCGGCCTGGGGATGCCTGCCTTGCGTGGTGCCTATTTGCATGGGCTGGCGGCGAGCCTGGCCCGCGTGGCCCGCGTGGCCCGCCTGGCGCGGTCCGGGGCGCGGGGCTCGCCCGACCAATGGGCGCGAGGGAGACGGAGACGGCGCGCGGCGCGGGAACCCCGGCCAGCGAGGCAATCGATATAGGGCCGAGCGGGAGGCGGGGCCCAACCTGGCGGGCGGGGCTTAGGGGCGGGGCGGGCCGAGCAGCAATCCCGGCGCAGCAATGGTGGCCACCGCCCCCGCCGCCCCCGCCTGCCCGGCGAGCCAGGTGGAAGGGGGCCGTAATGCGGATATTCTATTTCCGGACTCTTTTTTCCATCAGACAGCGATATGCAAACCGCCTCGGGGTCTTCCTTCACGGGAAATTAAATTTGGCGCGAAAAAGACTACTGGATTTTGGAGTCAATTTTGTTGTTTGCGTAACCTAAACCGAAAGAAAAACTTTTGTTTTCCAAATGTTATTGAATTTGTTTTGTTCCCTGCAGCAGGCGATGGCGCCAGCGGACTCCTCGCAGCCCCTGTCGCAGTCCACCAACCCGTTCGCGTACGGCGCCGTGAACCAGGTCGGTACCGGTCGGTGCGAGTGTCGCTCTGTCTCTCTCGCACTCGGCGTTCCGTGGGGGTGCGACAGAGACAGAGACACTAACACCCGTGCCTCTGTTGACGCAGGCCGCGGTCACGAACCCGTTCAACGCAGCCTGGGACGCCGCGCCCGAGGAGGGCTACACGAACATGGTGGGCGCCCCGCAGGGCGTGCAGCCGCAGCCCACCGACTCCTACATGCACGGCTCTGTCCAGGACAGGGCGTACTGAACGCACTCGTCTCCTCATTGTCGCTGGGGGACGTCGCCGTCCTCCCCCGGCGGCCCGCACTGGCCTCAGGGCCCTTACGGCCAGCTCGGGGGTCGTGGCACCTCTCCCCCAGGACCCGCTGCGGTATCAGATTAGTAAGGTCGCTGTAAACCGTGATATCGGTAGGAAAAAAAGTAGCTATCTGTTGTAAAATTTGAGTAATTACTGTCTTTGCTAGTCGTTTCCCGGATATGATAATACTAGATAATATTTGTCGAATTGATGAAGAGTATGGCGTTTATTTTTGTTGCTTTTTTCGGCAGAGATCTGCACCGTTCGAACGCAAAAAAATATCAGTAGTCGTGGTATAATTATACACTGTAAAACGTATCTTAACTGAAATAACTTTTCCGAGTATATGAATACTATTCTTGACTTCAATTCTGACGTAAACCTAGTTTTTTGAAATTTGTTGGAAGTTATTTTTGTGTCAGAGTGCGTAGTTTGGTCGGACTGGTCGCGGAATTAGGATGTCTTTACGACTCCTAGATGCAATTGGCTCCTCGCCCTGTTCGGAGGCCTGGCAAGGCTGTGGCAAGGCTTGCCCTGCCAACGACTCCTTGTTGACAGGCGCGGTGACCAGGGCTTGCAATCCGGTGTGCGGTCATCCGGATATCCGGATCGTTCTTGTTAAATCACGTGGGTTAGGAGAAAAGTGTTCTATATGCTTAAAGAAACTTTAAGAGTGATTATTAAGTGTTTATAAATCTAGATTTCTTGTTAAGACGCGCGGGCGCGCTCCTGCTCGTCTTCAATATTGTTCTTCTATGACAATACGTCAATTTGTTGTATGTATGGGTGGGTTTTCCAGTAGTGTTTTCCGTTTTTGACCAGAGAAGAATTCGTTTCCTCTGAACTTTCTCGTTTATGTGTCTCTTCTCTTCCATGGAACTATGAATTTCGCTACAAGTCAATTCCGTGACCCTTCAAACGCGTCAGCCCGGCACGGTCTCCCGGTAAGGAATACAATTACGAGGTTGCTGGTTCGATACCCCACGGAAGCGATTTTTCTAACCGGGTGGCTTGTGCTGCTACGCGTTCAACACTTCCTGTTTGACCCAATGACTTTGTCTAGACGTAGTAGGTTATTTATGGCTAAATATTTTTATTTTGTTATCGTGTGAAATGGCTTTATCAAAGCCTTTCTAATGTTCGGATCCTGCCTGGCTAGGCGCAGGACCGGCTGGAAATGGTGAGGGCGTCTTATGTTGAAAGCAATTTTTGATGGAGACACACCAGTCTCCATTTGGCTGTGGTGACAATAACTAATTTTAGGCTTTAGCTTGTAAGGAAATAATGCGTGAAAGAGCGAGAATGTGTGAAACGCTTGCGGGGGGAGTGTGACTTGCGAGAGTCCCTTCGAACTTGCCACTGGCGCGGGCACTGCAAGCCTTTCAGGCAGTCCCTGCTCGCTGCCGTGGCATTGGCCCGCAGCGTTATTAGTGCTATTTTCGGCGTATGAAAGTCAAGAGTAGTTCTAGCGTAGTGCGGTGTAACCAGGAGAGAAGTCCCTACGTGTGAGTGCCTTTCTGGTTTCTCCAGTATCTCAATATTTTAAAATTAAGGATTGGTTGAGGGAGTGAGCGCGGGAGTGTGGGCTTTAGCCGTACGTCGCGAACACAATTTTTTTGTGCATTCAGTAGCCTTGCACATTTTTGTAAGGAACGCGCCATGTTCCATTGAGTTTTGGTATTTAGCGAAAAATGGCAATTTTTACGGACTTTTGTTCTCTTGGCCATTCCGCCGCATCTTTAAACACTCGCTCTATCAGCACGCTTGTGATTTTTTGCACAAAATGTGACTCGTCCAATTGCACGCACTTTGCACGCATAGCACCCCACCAGCACGCAAGCACGCATGGCACGCACGCACCTCGCACGCACTTCGCACGCACACACACAAACACACACGCGCGTGACTAAAACCAAGTAGCATCGAGCACCAATTCGCACAAATCGTTTTGCACTTTGCACCACGTAGTTCGTTAATTATTTCGCACATTTGCACCAGCACTTTTTGAAGGTAGGTTTTTCAGAGTATTTTTTGTGCTAGGCACTGCACTTTATGCACGCTACGAGCAGTCGGAATCACTTTTTTAATAGAGCTAGCTATTTTTGTCAACACATTTTCTCGTAGTTTCTACGACGTTTTCGGTAGTTTTTCTTTCGTTTACACCATATCCACCATTATCCACCCCTCACTCCCTATCCCAATCCATTCTTTGAATTAAATCGCTCGCACTTGGAGGTCGGACTCTCCGGCAAGTCTCAAATGTGAGCATTTAAATGGAATTTGCGAGAAAGCAGAAGGTTCTCATGATAAATTTTTGAAGTTGTATAATATATTTGCTTTTCCAGAGATGTTTTCTCCGTTACTGTATGTGTAAATCATAACCATTCCATTGTTTGAACGTTAGTTGGTAGGCAATTTGAGGAGGGTCCGAACTGCGACGTGATAGAGGAAGGAATGCTTGGGACAGATAGGAAATCCAGAGATGCTGAGAGATGCATTGATGGGATTTCTTACTGCTCGTTGTAATCATTTGTATTCGTACCTTCGGCGTTGTTCGAAATGAAGACATGAAACTTAACAGAATCAATTTTGAATGTGTTATAAAAGTAGATGTCTTTTTTTTTGTCTTTTGTGTTTTTTTTGCGATTGGTGGTTTTCAGGTTGGTGCCTCCTAGTTTTTCTGAAAGTGCGTCTTATTTCATCAACTCTCTGACAAAACATAGCTTCAGAAAGTTTTCTTGTAACTCTGTATATCAAAGCATCTTGTCGATTCGCCATTTTGACTGGCCAAGTTGTATTTATAGTTTGATAGTTTATTTGTTCTAGTCCAGAAAGTCGCCCGTTAGAATATGTTTCGCGACTTTTGATTGAGTATGACACCATCTGCCAAGGCTGACAAGGTGGACTTATTGTTCAATTGTTGAAGAAAATGGGCTCGTTTTCGTAACTTAACCAGGTGTGGTTAATGTAAGAGCCGGAGCTGTTTTAAGTTTTTGTTATTTTTTTCCAGATATTTAAAGCATTGTTTTAAAATATGAAAGTGGTTTGCGATGTAGCTGTTACTTTTCTTCTCTAAAAAAATGGTTGCATATTAATATTTTTTGTTGCACATCACTGCTCCTTTTAATGTGTATTAAATCTTATATAATTCTGGATCTAAACGATATATATATCTTTAAACTGCCACGTTGCGAAATAGCCATACATGGTGGGTGCCAAGAGAGCAATAATGTTTTAATTGTAATATTGTATCACTGGTTCACTGTAAACGGCCATGACGCCCAGTAAGCGGCTACATGCAGCACTGCGGTGGGGCCCGCCTCGGGGCCCGCCTCGGGGCCCGCGGCCATCTCCGGTTCTATGTGTAAAATGTTATTAATCCAGCGACTTAATCCTCAATAAAGGTTAATATTCTTTCCGGTTGATTCCAATCCGTGTGTTTCATTCTCCTTGTCCCTTGTTTCTTTTCCTTTCAAAATCTACGAATGGGAGCAGCACATGAAACGGCGTGGGTAAAAACACGTAGCCACTGGCACTTGCGGAAACTTTATCCGTTTCTCCAGCGACGCGTGCGACGCGAGCGATGCGCTGGGAATCATTTGGCGCGGAGTTCGTTATCAGTGATTGGAGGGGGGCGGTCGCGACGCGGACTAAAGTCGAGTCGTCTAGTCGGTGGCGGCAGACAGACCGCGGCAGACAGACCGCGGCAGACGCTCCGCCTCGCCATGACGGCACGGCTCGGGCTCCTGGTCCTCACCGCCGTCGTCCTCGTCGTCCTCGCCGTCCCCGCGCCCACCGCGGCGCAGTGGGGCGGCACGCGGGGGCGGGGGCGGACCCAGCGCGGCGGCGATGCCCCCTTCGGCTTCAGCGGCCTCAGCGGCGACCTGGACCTCAGCCACATCGCCAGGATCGCGTCGAAGAAGCCCCCGCCGGGACCGGTGCCGCCGGAGACGCACCTCACGGGGGTAAGTCTAGTGTGCCACCTCGTAGGGACAACCCGTCAGTGACATCGTGTCCGTGACACCCCAACAGCAAAACGAGTTACATCCCGACAGTTTTGTGATGCCCTAGGCTGCGCTAGTTGTCAGAAGCAAAAAAAGATTCTCGTTTTAGTTCAAAAATTTTAATTTAAATTAGAAACTGAAGCCCTCTTGTGCGTAACGTGTCAAACGCCAAAGACACAATATGAACGTTAGGTGGGTACTTAAAAAGAAGAACTTGTTGGATGTTAGAGGGCCCCGTGAGTTCTGCGGCAGGTCCTGTAGGTACAGTAGCGGTGCGATGGCGCAAGCCCAGAGCAGGCGGCTGAGACTGTTGATCAGAGGGTCGGTCAATATCACGAGAATCGCTTCAATTGTAATGCATTCACGACCCAAAAGTGGGCAGAAAAGTGGATTTTAAAAATACAGTTCTCTTTTTTTCTCTGTTCGCTGCCGGCTCAACTGTTGGACACAAACAAAAAACAGCAAACAAAAAACAGGGTAACAATATGAGGACCAGAGATGCCCCCCGTGAGACACGACGGGTTTTCGCTAACAAAGAAATTCCGCTCAGGCGGTGATGACCAGAACATTTGGGTTGTAAAGCAGGCTTCACGCGCTGTTCACATAACTGGTGTGGGTGACCTTGATCTTGAGCGGGTCCAGGTCGGAGCCCCCGCCGCACCAGGAACGGTCACTCGGACGTTTTTCCAGGCGAAAGTGAATACCCGATCGACCGATCGACTTTTCGTTTCGATATCTCGTGGAAACTTCCTGCTCAGCTGTAGGTGCACATTGGCCGGCGGCGGGGCGGAGCGCGGGGCGGATTCGGCGGTCTTGCTTAGCATAATAAGGCTGCCGCTGCCGCCTGCTCGCGGCTCTACACTGATAGGGCACCGCGACGCGACGCCGCCGCGGACCGGTCCCTGATCCAGCTCGCCGCCGGCCGGCCCGGCCCGCGCGGCCCCGCCACGGCCCCGCCCCTCCCGCCTAGACAGGTTCATTCCCACGCGCGGCGTCATGGTCAGGGACGTCGCGCACATGCCTCCAAAAATATATCTCACTCGAAATTTAAAAAAACTAAACTACCATTTTATAAAAACATTAAATTTATTGTTATGTATTGTTCATTTCCTCAGCCTAACCTGATCCTGCACTTCGGCTACCCGGCGGAGACCCACAAGGTCCTGACGGAGGACGGCTACTACGTGACCATCTTCCGCATCCCCTGGAGCCCCAAGCTGGGCCCCGCCAACGAGTCGCGGCCCGTGGTCTTCCTGCAGCACGGCGTGCTGCAGACGGCCGACCAGTGGCTGTTCCGCGGCCCGGGCAGGGACCTCCGTGAGTGACACTGTAAACACCCCACGCACAGACACAGTGGGCCAGAAGACCGGTGGAGGCGGCCTAAACTCCAGACACGCTTTGAGCTGCAGAGTCGCTGAATGGGACTAGAACCGAACGTGTGACCCCGCTAATGGATTTCTCTCCGAACGAGGAATCCATTGATGGCGTCACACGTTCGGTTCAAGCCCTGTTCAGTGACTCTGGAGCTCGAAACGCGTTTAGAGTTTCAGCCACCTCCACCGGTCTTCTGGCCCACTGTGCGTCGTTCGGTCTCGCACAGAGTACCGCCGCACCGCCGTCCGTACGACTGCCGCGCTGCTGCCGAGGCCACTCCTCGGTTCATGACTTGACCGGTGCGCTCCGCGCTCCGCCTTGCTTCGCTTCCTCCTCGCAGCGTTCCTGCTGTCCGACCTGGGCTTCGACGTGTGGATGGGCAACTACCGGGGCTCCACGTACAGTCGCAAGCACGCCTACTTGTCGCCGAAGAAGCTCCGCTTCTGGGACTTCACGTAAGAACCCTGTCTTCCAAGTCCCAGGTTCAAATCTTAAAAAAAAATCACAATTTTTTATCAACTTTTTTCAGTTTTCATTCAAAAATCTTCTTTTTTTTTGTAAAAAAAAAATTCTGGTGGTAATTTTAATTTCTTTTCTCCAGCTGGAACGAGAACGGGTTGTTCGACCTGCCCGCCATGCTGGACTACGTGGGCGCGGTGACGGGGCAGCCCAGCATGTTCTACATCGGCCACTCCATGGGCACCACGACGCTGCTGGCGCTGCTGGCCGAGCGGCCCGAGTACAACCGCCGCATCCGGGGCGCCTTCCTGCTGGCGCCCGTCGCCTACTTCCAGCACACCTGGGGGCCCCTGGCGCAGGCCCGCTCCATCGCCCCGCTGCTCACGAGCCAGGTAAGCCGGGCGCACCCCGAGCGCAAGACGCGTTTTGAGCGCCAGAGTCGCTTAACAGGACTCGAACCGAACGTATGACCCCACCAAGGGATTCCTCGTTCGGAGAGCAATCCATTGGTGGGGTCACACGTTCGCTTTGAGCCCCATTTAGCGACTCTGGAGCTCAAAGCGCGTCCGGGATTGTGACCGCCTGGCCCACTGAGTGCCTCCAGGCCTCGGCGCGGTGCGGCGCGGTGTCTTACTTGCTGTTTGTTTAGCCGAACAACCGGCTGATCGGGGAGGCGCTGCCCCGCGGCGCCGGCAACATGTGCGTGGGGGCGGTGCCGCTGTGCGCGCTGGTGCACAACCTCGGCTCCGGCTCCAGCCCCGGGGAGTACAACGCGGTGAGCCCCTGTCTGCCTGTCTGTCAGTCCGCCCTGTAAAGACAGTATAGCACTAAGACACACACCTTCTCCACGCAGACCGTGTTCAAAATCCTGTTCGGCCACTACCCGTCGGGGGCGTCGTTCGGGCAGCTGCTCCACTACGTCCAGATCCTCGTCTCCGGTGAGTGTCGCCCACACTGCAAACTAGCCGTGCTCGATGGAAAGTCTCAGTGTGCGTGTGTGTGCGTGCAGGCGAGTTCAAGATGTTCGACTACGGCCCGCGCGAGAACCTCGCCCGGTACGGCCAGACGACGCCGCCGTTCTACGCGCTCTCCAACGTGCGTGCCCCGATCTACCTCAACTACGCGGAGGGCGACCCCCTCTCGCCGCCCAAGGTGAGGCGCACCGCGAAGCAGAGCGAAGCGGCGCCACCATTTTTCACCATTTCCGCGTAAAGTGTCCCGGGCCGAGCACGGAGTGGTACCTCCTCGCCGAGCTCGGCGCCACCAAGGCGGTGATTTGGTCATGATTCCGAGTTGATTGAAAGCCTGGCGTCGCGCCTCCGCGCCTCACAGTGCGGAAAGGAGCACGTGGGCAATCCCAGGCGAAGGACACGTGCCGCGTCAATTTCCACATTTTCCTGTTTTCTCACTTTTTATTGTCTAGTTTTTTTTTTTTTTTTTGCTCCTCCGGTTTGACGGTGTGATGAACCGCATTTTTCTGGTTCAACAGATTTTTACTCACTTGTTTTCTTTTTTGTAAGAACGTGATTTCGAGTTTTGTTTGGTTTTACAGGACGTCCTGAGACTAGCCAAAGAAGTGCCCGGAGTAAGGAAGCTGATGAAGGTGCCGCTCAAGGACTTCGGCCACGTCGACCACCTGTACGCGACGCACTCCTACGAATTAGAGTACAAAGGAATCATAGATATAATGTTAGGTAGGAATATATGAATTTATTATTTACCTCGTCGTTTCATTTTGCCCTCTTCTTCTGCTCTCTAGACACGAGCACACATCAATTCAAGTTTTATTGTGGTTTTTTTACGTTCCTCTACCTTCTCTAAAGAAAAAAAAATAGTCAAAAAAAGTACGGCCTGTCTGTAACCGGTTTTGAGTGGTCAGTTTGCGTAGAACCCACGGTGAACTTATTCAGAATTGTTCAATTTCCTGCTTGAATTGCCGCACTCTGTTCAAAGTCTCGTTCAGGTGAGTGGGGGGGGGACAATCGAAGTGCAACGGCCACGGCACTGTCGGCCGAAACGTTGACCTATAATGATGGTCTTGTTTGAGTCATTGCTGTCAGTGTACCCGTACGGCGGGTCCGAGCCGCAGGCTTCTTTTATATCTTTGCTACTTCCCCGTGGTGTCTGACCAGATGCGAACACACACAAAAAAAACACGTACTATGGCCCGGGGCGCACAGTTCCGGCTAGTTAGTTTCATGCGCGCACCGACACGAGCAAGGACGCACATTAGTTTGAAACAAACGCGCGGGAACTGCGATTTTGGGAGTGTGGCCCAGTCAGGCCACGGGGACCAGACCCACCGCGCCGGCCGGCCAGGTAAGAATTAATTTTCATTACACCGACCGTTCGCTCATGCAAATCAACTTGCAGATTTTATCGTCGCGCTCCCAACACTTCGCATCATCCTAGTATGTTTTCCTTGTTGGCGCTCCTCCCCGCCAGAGCGCGCCACGCGCGGCGCGCAACCACGCGGCGATAGAACCGAGGCGGGCAAAAAGAAGACACGAGCACCAGGATGACCATTGCGAACCGCGGCTCCGTCGCTCTGTCTCTCAAACGCCGACGCCACGCCCCGTGAGTGCGACAGAGACAGAGCGATGACAGTTCGGAAGCAGCCTCCTGCTCGCACATCCACGGACACCAGTGGCGAGGCTAATGGGTGGCTGTCCCGGTAGTCTGCTAAATAATCGCACGGCCCGTCCGCCCCGCACCGCCTCGAGGCAGAGCGTTTGTGACACCAGTCGTGTCGTTCACTCAGCCAAGTCTGCTCTCGCATGCTCTCGCGGCACGGAGCGATAATGCGAACCGTCACCATGACGACCACGTGGAGGGAGAAGTGGCGGGTAAAGGCCCGGCGCTACCCTGTGGAACGCCCGGGGACACCCTGGGAACGCCCTGGGAACACCCCGGGAAGCCGGGAACGCCCCGGGAACGCCCTGGGTACGCCCTGGGAACGCCCTGGGAACGCCCTGGGTACGGCAGGAACATGACCTGAGCTAGCGATGGTTCTCATGGAAGACCAGGACCTGCCGGGGCCCGAGGGGCCGGGCACCTCGGTTCGCCGAAGGACCTTCCCACATCGACAAGGTGCCAACTGTACCAAAAAAACAAAAAAACTGCAGTGTGTATAAACGTCTAGTCGCAAACGAGCTCGCGAGTGCACACGACTGCGTCGAGACTGCGTCCGACAGTCTCACCGTGACTCTGATGGTCAGGGCGACGGCAGCGACCGAGCGAAGGCTTTCCGCAGTTCGCCAACCCGGATGACGTCATCGGCAGTAAGTTGCACGCGGAGTACTGCTCAGTGCACCTCGTGGGTAACGCGGTGAAACTGGAGCCGTTTTTCTGTTGGGACCGTCGGCGTTTCGGCTGTGTCTTCGGACTTCGGGGACGACACGTCTGCAGACACGCCACTCGTCCGCTTGGAGTTGTCCTCCAGGACGTCGCTCGCGGTGCGCCACTAGACCACGGACCGTTCTGCAAGGTGTCTGCGCCTCGCTGCACCCCCCTGACCTCACGACGCGCAGGGCCACTTGGACTCGGACACCGCCTCGCTGTGGACGGGGGTCGACGCCGAGGACCTGCCGCGCCTCAACGCCCTGCTAGACAAGATACAGCACTGCCAGCGCGGCGCCGTGGACCAGGGTAGACCGGGGTATCCTCTGCGCGCAGTGGATCTGCCTGAAGACTGGCGCCGGCGGCCAAAGCTCCAGAGTCGCTAAATGGGACTTGAACCGAACAAGTGACCCCACCAATGGACTCCTCGTTCGGAAAGCAATCCATTGGTGGGATCCACCTCCGCCTCCACCGGTCTTCTGGCCCACTGTGCTGCGCCTCGTTTTCGTTGGCCCCGAGGTCCAGCCGCGTTGTGCTGTCGCCAGTGGCGGCGGACGAACGGGGCGAACGGGACGACTCGGGCGTGGACGTGGGCATCGACGTCCCGAAGGCCAAGACGGACGACGTCGCCGACCTGCTGCAGGAACTGCAGGCCGCGCAGGGCGGCCTTGGCGGCGGCCTCGGCCTTGGCGTCGGCGGGGGCAGCACTGGCAGCCGCCGGTCGGAGTCCGCGGAGTCCTTACTGGGGTGGACGCCGGGCCAGAGCCTGGAGTATGTCCAGTGGAGCGCGCGCAGCAGGTGCGGCGATACCCCGCGCAGAGGGCCGTGACGCGCGGGGTATTCACGGCGGCTGCAGTCCGAAAGGTTGTATCCCTGGCAGGCGCCTGCCAAGAACGGGGTAGGCAGTCCCGTCGAGCTCGGCAGCAGCGGGGTTGCCTACCCGACCCTTCGCAGGCGCCTGCGAGGAATAGGGTAGGCAGTCCCGTCGAGCTCGGAAGCAGCGGGGTTGCCTACCCTGCGCAGGCGCCTGCGAGGAATAGGGTAGGCAGTCCCGCCGAGCTCGGCAGCAGCGGGGTTGCCTACCCGACCCTTCGCAGGCGCCTGCGAGGAATAGGGTAGGCAGTCCCGTCGAGCTCGGCAGCAGCGGGGTTGCCTACCCGACCCTTCGCAGGCGCCCGTCCACGCCTCGTCTTTCCACAGTGGCTGGCGCCGGCCTGTCCACCGGGACTCCGGGCCGGGCGAGGACACCTGTGCAGGTGGCTGTCTCTGAGACTCTGGCCGGCTGGCGTCTCATTGGGCATGCACTGTGAAAATGCTCTGGTTTCGCAGTGATGCCGCCGGCGGCCGACCTCACGAGCGGCGACGGCAACGCGGTCTCGGGACCGGGATGCGAGCCAGAGGGTGAACTGCAGGCCTCGGAAGTGAAAAGGTGGGTCGGTTGAAGTGCTGCGCCTTCGGGTTGGTCGCTCGGTCGCTCGGTCGCCCGGTGTCTGAGGCCGGTGTGTTCAGCAAGGCGGCGCTGCGGCGGCAACTGCTGGGCACGGCGAGCGCGCGCTGGCTGGAGTACTGGGACATGGGCCAGCTGGAGTGGTGCGCCCACAGCGGCGAGGCCGAGGCGGTGGACGTCATTTCCAGCCGCGTCTATCTCCAGCAGAAGGTCATTCCCGGCCCCTGGTAAAAAGCAGACTAACCCCACTGTCGACGAGTGAGTGATCGTGTTTGACGATGGCCAGGAGGAAGCAGGCCAGCGCGTCCAGAGGGCCCGGATGGAGGAGCGCCTGGCCAGACACGTGGTGGAGGTGCTGTGCACGTCTTCGTCGAGGCCGGACACTGATCAGGCCAGTGGCCACTACTTCAAATAATCCATAAAAAGTTGTTTTAAAAGCAAATACGAAGAACAATGTGATTTCCCCTCCGCAGGTGCAGTGGATGGGCGCGTGGGCGGAGGGCCTTCAGGGCCTAGGCCACGGCCTGGGCCACCACACCTCGTCCTTCGAGCTGGCCTGGGAGGCCACGGAGGAAGAACGCCTCCTGACCCGCATGCACGAGGCCTCGACGCAGGCCGGCCTGGCGTGCGTCCGGACGCCCTCCGACGTGGAGCGGCTCGCGTTCGGCCCCTTCGGCACCTTGGGCACCTTCGGCAGGCCCGGTGACCTCCACTCACTCCACTGGGTTCGTGTCCTTCGACTTCGTGCTCTTCGTGTCCGCCAGACTGTTTTCGCCTTCACGATGCCTCCGTTGTTCATTCCGCTCACCACTTTATTCCATTATTATTTTTTTGCAGCGGGAGTGTTTTTCCGAGGCTTTCCCAGTCCCACGGAAGCACGATGGTATTATTCAAATTTTTGGACCGCGTTTGAAGTGGTTTGAATGGTGGGAGTGATTCTGATCGGAACCGGAAATAGCTTTCAGCGTGCTGTCAAACCTTCCCTTCGTAAATGTTTACAGACGCGATTTTTTTTCACAGTGGCAGGAAGTATTTTTATTCATGCAGAAATTTTCATTGCCTACGACTTGTCAATTTAATGTTTGTTAATATTTCATTCACAAACTTAGAATCGGAAACTGAAGAAAAAGCCACTTTATGTGTCACATTTAAATGTTGTCAGCACTAGAGGGGAGGGGATGCTCCTTTGTTTCTCACGTTCGTTCGTCGTCTGCTCTAGCTGACCACTAGCAGTTGTTTCGTATTTTTCTAAACTTGTCGTATATACGTCATTTGTTTTAATTAGAAAATGCCCACACCTCGGGTGATTCTATCCGAAGCAATGGCGCTAGAAGTAGGAGGTATGATTTCATCGTAAAATTTTTATTAAGTAATGAATTAAGTTGCCCCCACGTTTTGAGGTTATATTGAAGGCAAAAAATGTTTGCCATTGAATTGATTGCCAAAGTTTGTAAATCAGTGCCAATTTACAGGGAGGTCAAATTCTGTAATCGTTTCCTCGTACTTAGCACCTCAGCTGTAGTCATCAAGTTTCAAGTGACATGTGTTGTTTGCTTCATCTTCATAACATGCAAAATAGCTGCTTGTTTAAAAAATTATGACCTTGTCCGTTATCGGAGCATAAAAATTAGAAGTGTTGTGTTATTTTCTTGAAGATGATCAAAGGTAAAATACCCCCCACATTCTGTGTACCAATTGTTTATGGTTTATTTATTGCTTACAGGCAAAGAGCCATGGCCCAACGATGTCAAACTTTTCCAGCCGTACGAAGTGGAGCAAATCCTCCTGCCAGACAATGCCAGTTGTCTAGCCACTCAAGCATTTTTGAAGATGGCCAAGCTGAAGTACACAGTCGAACCCCGCAGCAATGCAGAATACATGTCTCCATCAGGTCAGTCTCAGTGCATACTGTACCAGTTGATTCAAAATTTAGAATGTTGAATTAGGTCTGTATATCCTATTAATCCCTTCATTTTTTGTTACCAGGGAAGGTACCATTTATTCAATGTGGAGCATTTGTGGTCTCTGAGCTGGAACCTATTGTATCATTTGTTGCAAGCAAGGTATAAAAATAGAATTATTTTTTTCATTTTTCTGTTGAAACCTTTATAAATTTAACTGCTTTAATCTGTCACTAATTTATTGCTTGAATTTCAGGGAGTCAGCCTTACAAATGATTTAGATAGTGGTGAGAAGGCCGACATGCGTGCTTACATGTCCCTGATAAGCAATGTCCTTGTAAATGCTGAGGTCAGTATTTTGAGCAACTCCATTTTTTTTTAAAAATGCAGCTCGGATACCTACATCCTGTTGCTAATTTTTACAGTGTTGTGAAATTATTCATTTTCTAATTTACTTGACAGCTCTTCCTCACATGGTGTGACCCACAAACATACAAACAGGTTTCCAAACCAAGGTATGGATCAGTATTCCCATGGCCTCTAAACCATTTGATGTGTTGGCAGAAACAAAGTGCTGTTGTTAAAAGATTACACGTGTTAGGGTGGGCCTCAAAATCACTGGATGATGTAAGTAACATTTTGTGATCGCTGGTTGTCATTATGTATTAACACTTTTTCTGAAAGATAAGTATCTTTTCTTTTTGTTCAATTCTAGGTGTTTCATGAAGTTGATCAGTGTTGCCAAGCCTTAACTGAACGATTAGCCAACAAGAATTACTTTTTTGGGGACAAGTAAGTTATTTCTTCCAGCACTTGTATGCTGCTAAATTTGTAAACAAAACTTAATTGGTGAAAATTTTTTAGGCCTACTGAGCTGGACGCCCTTGTCTTCGGCCATCTCTTCACTGTCCTCACCACACCTCTGCCCAACAACCAACTGGCAGCAACAATAAGAGGCTATGGCACTCTGGTTGATTTATGCAAGAGAATTGAGCACCAATATTTTGAGCTACAAAGCAGCTCATGACCACCACTGTAATGCCACTAGATTTATAGACAATAAGTAGATAGATCACTTATGGCTCATCTCATCAGGCAATACTGATTTTTTATTAATGAAGTACCTCAAAGAGGAAAAAGGATTGATCTTGCATGTGTTACCAGTTGTTAAGCTTTCATGATTGTTATGTGAACTATAATAAATTCTAATTTGAAACTGACTGAGTTGTTTCATGGATGCACAAAGGAAAAAATCAAGATGATAGTCAAATAGTCCCTATAATTTTTTTTTCATTTTTTAGATTAACTGACAACTTAAAGAAAGTGAATTTTTAAAAAAGGGAATGTACCTAAAGTGCTATACCAGCTCTGTCAACTTGTCCCCATCCACTTGCTCGTCCAGTTTCTTCCACATGTTTACGGACAGCACCATCCAAAATTTGATGAATATCCTTGCAGCCTTCGATTGCTCTTTCCAGCACTTTAGGTAAGTGGTCAGAGTGGAAACGTTGTGACATTTCCATAAGAGCAACCTGCACAGAATAAAACTAATTAATTAAATGCATCCAAGGTAAGATATTAGTATTAAAGAGTTGGTAAGGGCAAAGGACATTACCTGGCCAGAAACAGGAAGAGTGGCTACTGTAAGGTTGGAGCCACCTGATGATTCCTCTAAATGGCTAACATCCACAAGTGCAACTTCGCCATTTGCTAAACTTGCAGAGCAAGCAACTGCATACTCTCTCATACCGACACCAGCATCCACTAATGCCAAAGTAGCAGCATTGACACAAGCACAGTAATTGCCTCCATCAGCTTGTAAAACCTGCCGAATCACAAAGAGTAGGAACTCTACTTTCAACAGAATCTGTATAGGCATTTAGTCAGTTTTATACCTCCACAAATATGTCCAACTGACTGCGAGGATACAATTCAGTTCTGATTGCAGCTACAAGAGCCTGGCGCAAATGGATAGACATTTCTTGACTTTTACGGTCTCCTCGAGGCCGTCTCTTTCTTTCACCGGTGCTGAACACTGCCATGCTATACTGACAGTTTACAAAGACTTGGTCATGAGGTGCTTTATTTCTTGACTGACCTCTTGGCTGAAATGGAAAAAGTGACATTACAAGATGAGAGAGTACAAGCAGACTGGAATGAAAATGGTTGAAACACCCACTTGATGAGGTCCGTATACTGTGGCCAGGACTTTGGTGTTGCCCTGTTCTAGGTAGGCACTCCCATCAGCTTGGCTGAACACTCCAAGCTTGCATCTGATGTTCCTCAGTTCCTCAGGACGTCTTCCGTCCAGCCGGAGCCCTTGGTCCGAGAGTAACTCCATAGTTATCTGAAAAAAATAGTGAAGTTCATAAAAACCACAAGGCTGGAAGGTTAGGCAGTGTATTTACAAGTGTTTGAATACTAACAGAAAGTCAGACAACTAGAAGGGTTTGAGTACTTTGAAGAAGCTGGGCGCACTGCTGAATTTGATCCACTCTCGCAAAATCTCTAATCACGACAAGGCGGAAGATGTATAGGTAAATAAACAAATGGAACTGTCTGCTGGCGCCGCACGCTGTTCTCTGCAAATACGTGATCCGATTATTCACACAACCCGTCCTTACTTCGAATACAGCCTCTCTGCCAATAGTGATGCGTGCTGCTGTTGCCGTGCTGTCTGCTTTGAACGACCGACTGATCGGATAACGACCCAGACGTTTGCAGACGTAAGCCTAAGCCTTTGGTACGTGGAAGCAATCCCCCGGTAAGTGCGATGATATTCTCCTTACGCGTCATCCAATAAATATCCGAAGGTGTCACTGCTCCACTGCAGTCGGGTGAACGACCGGACAGGTTCAATGTCATAACCTAACATCCTTGCGGCCGGCTTTGTCTATTTCTGGACAATCCCTCGGTGTCATCCTGAAAAACTTTGGCTGTAGATTTTGCATCAGCCTGAAAAACGATTTAATTTTGCTCTAGTGGATGTTGCTGTGCCAATACCATTTTTCTGCACTATTTCACAAGCAGTCAGTTAATTGCAGTGTTTAATTTTATTTGTTTACTCCATGGAGGTAAAAAAAAATTTCTGCTATGTCTTGACCATCTGTGCCAGTCGTAATTAATATTTTGGCTGTCAATGTTGTTTGAGGGATTTACGTTTGACCTTCCTCAACGCCAACGACAGTGCTGTGAAAACTGTCACTTGCCATTGCATCATCCTTGTTTCGCCTTTGTCCAGGTCTGAAAAATGGTGGTTGCAGAGAACAAACCTGATGCTGAGACGTAAGTTTTCGTGTCCAGCCAATTTGAACCTCAAAAGAAAATGTAGTCGTTAATATTTTAATTTATTTTTAGTGTTGAGGGGAAGTCCAAGAAACAGCTGAAGAAGGAGCAAAAGGATGCCGAAAAGGCTGCCAAGAAAGATGCACACAAGGCAGCTAGAGTGAGTATACTGAGGAAACCAAAGTTCTGTATAGGTAATTTTGTGTTCCTAAATCATGTTTGGTTTTGTATAGGGTGCTGCTACTGAGGAGGCTGAAGAGAGTGGACCTGATGTATCTGCTGGAAAGTATGGTTCTCTTGGTATGATTCAGAGCAGTAGCGACCCTGAACTCCTTGCTAGAGAATTTGTTCACGTGCGTGATCTTGATGAGAAAAAGGCCGACCAATCAATTTGGGTACGAGGTCGCTTGCACACCAGCAGGGCAAAAGGTTTGATTTTAATATTTTTTTCAGTGTTCTTCCAGCACTATATTGTAATAAAAAATAAACATATTTTTAATCTTTTTTTTCTGTTCAGGAAAGCAGTGTTTCATTGTTGTGAGACAACAGGAGTTTACTGTCCAGGGTCTTCTTGCTGTGAATGACACTATTAGCAAACAGTTTGTCAAGTTTGCTTCCAAGTAAGATGTTCTCTTCATTGTTGTATCATGTTTATGTTGTTTCCAAATAATCATAATGCAAACAATCAATTTTTTTTTTTTTTTAGTGTATCTAAAGAAAGCATCATTGATGTGCAAGCAAAGGTGTCCAAGGTCCCAAAGAAAATTGAGTCATGTACCCAGAAGGATGTTGAGCTTCATATTCAACAGATTTGGGTTGTAAGTGCCGCAAAGAACCAGTTGCCACTTCTCATTGAAGACGCTTCCCGCCCCGAGAAGAAAGAGGAAGAGGTGAGGTTCCTTTAATGTTTCAAACTGATTTTTTATTAAGTGCACTGTTTTTGACAAGGAAATTATTGCAGGAGACTGAAGGCCTCAGCATTCGTGTGAACCAGGACACTCGTCTGGATAACAGAGTTCTTGATCTGCGGACACCTGCTAATCAAGCAATTTTCAGAATAGAAGCTGGTGTTTGCCAACTGTTCCGTGACATCCTCACAAAGAAGGTTAATATTTACAACCTGCCACTGTTCCTCTTCAAAATAGATCTGAATTTTCTTTACAAATCTTCCCCTTTATCTGTTTTGCAGGGCTTTGTCGAGATCCACACACCTAAAATTATTTCTGCTGCTAGTGAAGGTGGTGCCAACGTATTCACTGTTTCCTACTTCAAAGGATCTGCTTATTTGGCGCAGAGTCCCCAGTTGTATAAACAAATGGCTATTGCTGCTGACTTTGACAAGGTTTTCACTGTTGGAGCTGGTGAGGAGAAATGCATTTTAGATTATAGTTTCTTACTGTGATACTAATATACTCAGCTGATGATATTTTTGGAACTCAGTTTTCAGAGCTGAAGACAGTAACACACATCGTCACTTGACTGAGTTCGTTGGACTTGATCTTGAAATGGCAATCAAGTACCATTATCATGAAGTCCTAGACACTATTGGCAGCACTTTTACTGAGATGTTCCGCGGTTTGCGTGACAAGTAAGAATTTACTATTTACTATTTGATTCATCGTGTGTCTGTTTCAAATTGTTGGCTTTAATTTCTAATCTTTCTGTTTCTAGCTTTGCCACTGAAATTGCCACTGTCAATCAGCAGTTTGCAGTGGAGCCGTTCCAATTCTTGGATCCTCCACTAAAGCTTGAGTTCCCCCAGGCTATTGCCATGCTGCGTGAAGCTGGTGTCACAGTTGGTGATGAAGATGATCTCAGCACTCCTGACGAGAAACTTTTGGGACGACTTGTCAAGGCTAAGGTAAAACCCTGATAATTGCTTTATTGCCTGAGGTTTTCTTCTGCATTTTGTTTATTGTTTGTCTCTTTATAATTTTTTGTTTTTCTTAGTACAACACTGACTTCTACATGTTGGACAAATATCCTCTGGCTGTAAGACCATTCTACACCATGCCTGATCCTAACAACAAGGTAAGAATTATAAAATGAAAAATAAATAGGTTTGGTCAAACACAAACAAAAATTACACAACATTTCTACACCTTTTTATTCTCTGTGTGCTCCTTGTAGAAAGCATCAAACTCTTATGACATGTTCATGAGAGGAGAAGAAATTTTATCTGGTGCTCAGCGTATTCATGATCCTGACTTCCTTACTGAGCGTGCAAAGCATCATGGTGTTGGTAAGTTCATTCTCTTCTCCCCCTTTTTATTTGTTTCTAGATGGGATGTTTACAAATGTCATTACTTATGTCCATTTTTGTTTTTCAGACATTGACAAAATTAAGTCTTACATTGATGCATTCAGATTTGGATGCCCACCTCACGCTGGTGGTGGCATTGGTATGGAGCGTGTTGTTATGCTCTATCTTGGCCTGGACAATATCAGGAAAACATCCATGTTCCCTCGTGACCCAAAGAGAATCACCCCTTAAATATTGTGTCATTGACTGACAGATGTGTGCCTTGATCAAAGACTGACCCAGTATATTTTACTTAACCAACCTGTATCTTGAATGAATATTGGTGCTTGCTTGTCAAATGAAATTACAGTACCTTCAACAAATTTTAAAAATACTGCATAAAAATATTTAAATTGCTTCTATGTTACATATACTGTAAAATGCTTTTCTAGGAGTATAGTACGCTTACTTGTGCATTATATTGTATAGCACTTATGTGAACAATGTCACCCTGATATCTTGTGTATAAATTCTGAAATAGATAGGCATTACTAGTATTCATGCGATCGGTTCTTTTCCTTGATGCCCCCTTCCCACAGGTCTGCGCCGCGGGAGCGCCTAACCGTCGGGCGCTCCCAGCCATGGGTACCATCGGGAATCGCTGCCGGAGCGGACGGTCCACGGGACGGTCCCTCACCCTCCTCCCCTTCACCAGGCCGCCACCGCGCAGCGCGTAGCCTCGACGGAGTCATGACGGAGTCGGGGCGCTACCTGGGCTAACTTTGTTGTGAAGTTAATCTGGGCGGGCCCGCCCCGGCCACCCCCCTGAGCATCGACCACGCCAGTTTTCCGGTACCGCGCGCCAGCCTTCCCATTTGACGAGTGGAGGCGAGGTGACCTTGAGACGGCCTTGGGGTGTCCTGGCCAGGTTCACGGGCACGGCGGCATGCCGCGGCACAGCCGGCACAGCCCCCAGGCCTTGACGGCTCGGCACGGCCGCCTCCTCGAGTTGACTCGGCCTGACCTTAGCGGCTGGGGCTTGAGCTCGGCTTGAGGTACCGGGCAGGCGGGGCCTAGGCCTCTGGAGCTGGGCCTGGGGTCTGGGGTGGGTGGATGGCGGATGGTACAGGGCGGTACGGCCCACTGCCACGGCGCCCACGGCGGCCACGCCACAGCCCGCGGAAGGGACCGAGACCGGGGGTACTCGGCACGGAATCAATGAGCAACATGGCGTCGAGATACGGCCTAGTCTAGTCTTAGTCCCACGCCCGCCTCACGCTCCAGCCCTTTTGGGCCGCGCCCTTGCGCTGGCACTTGCTCCGCTCAGACCCCTACCGCCCTTTCCAAAACAATGTCGTCCCAGACTTTATTCAACCGTTTTACCTGAATCTTTCCTGTTACTCTGTTTCTGTACACACTTTCTTACCGATCTTCGTCTATATTCGGCCCTTCTCTCCCCTTCCCAATTAAATCAATCCTTTCCTGCAAATTTTTTTGGGAGGCCGGTTTTTCAATTCTTTTCCTGATTGTCCCCTCTGGACTTTTTTGAGCCTGTTCTGCCCTTTCTGGAACCCACCCCGTGACGTCACCGCTCCGTCGGCGCGGGGGCGGACTGGGAATGGGCATGGCGAATGGTGGATGCGGTGCGTCGCCGCGTCGCCACTGCCAAAGCCGCTCAAAGCGTCGGGCGGCTGTTGCCGCGGGGAGGCGGCGGGGCAGGGTGGATGTAGCGGCGACGACGACGACGCTTCGACGGGGTGAGCCCAGACCGAATTTGTCCCGAGGCCGGAGGCGGGAGACCCGGAGGTGGGGGGAAAGTTGGTTGAAGGGCAAGTAGGGCATGAGCGAGAGGGGCAGAGGGGTGGGGGTCATTGCGCAACCCCCAGCTCCATGGACCGCGGGTCGCGGCATGTCGGGGGGCACAGGTGCCGCCGTCACGAGCGTCATGACGTCTGCCAGCACGTGGCGGTGTGGCGGTGCCCGAGGGGCTGGAGGCGGGGCCATTAGAGCGGCATCTCCGGTGGACGCGGCGGGAATGAGGAATGTCGACGAGGAGGGCGAGGACGAGGACGCCGCGGGGTCAGAAGTCGTGGCGTCCACCGTTCATCGCGCCAGCCGGCCCGCATTATGGATTGTCGCTGTTGTTTCATTCAACAGGTCCGAGCACGGCGGAGCACGGCGGCCAAGCGTCGGTCGGCGGGCAAGGCCTGGCCAAGGCCTGGGCGAGGCTCGACGCCCTCGGTCAGGCATCGGCGTCAGCGGCCTCGGCTTAACGAAGGGCACCGGATTCAGTGTGGGATTGGATTCAACGCCCCGTGCCGCCCTGGGCCGTGCTCCGCCACGCTGGGCCACGCTGGGCCTCGCTGGGCCATGCTCCCCCGGGGCGTGCGGCGCGCCCAGCCCAGGATGGCCTTGGCGGGGAATTCAACGGCACGTGTTAGGCCGGAACGGCGCAGCCTTCGCAGGCTCGGGGGTGGTGCCGAGTCTCCCGAATTCAACAAGGGTAATTTGGTGGCGGCTCTAATTTGGGGAGGAAGCACGCCAAGCGCGCGGCGTCCCACGCACGCACACATCCACTGACTCACACCCACACACACCGCGTCCACCCCCACCCCCGGCCCTGGCGGTGAGAAAGGCGTCTCGCTTTGTTTCTCTCTCCAGCGCCTCGGCGCCTCGGCACTGCTCGGCACTCATTGCCCCCGTTGTTGTTGCTGGTTGCTGTCGGTCTTGTTGTTGTTGTTTGCCGAGAGTGTTTGGCGCGCAGTTTGCGGCGGGTGGAAAGCAAGGGCTGCTGTCGTTCCGTGTTGCTGCCGCCCCCGCCGCTGCCGCCACTTGCCGCCCCCGCCAGGCTACGCCAGGCCTGCGCAATACCCTTCGCCGGCCCCTCGTCGGCCCGCCCCCGCCCCACCGCCCCCCTCCTCCAGTGCAGCTCGATAGCCCCCGCGACGCCTCTAGGGGGTGGCTGGCTGGCTGGCCGGCCGCCATGTTGGCTCTCGGCGTTGCCAACCCTCGCGCCGCACCCCGCTGCTGAAAATCGGACCTGGGTTGGTGTTCGAACCCCGGTCGGGGCGACCGTTTCGAACAATGTGACCACGGTGAACTGGCAGGGACCGGCGGTGGGGATCGAACCCGCGCACGGCGAGCTGGAGGTGGCGTCGCGGTCGCGGTGAGGTGGCCGTCCTGGGGCGTGGCTGCGAACGCGGTGGGGCGGCGTGGGGGCGGGCGGGGCCCGGAGGCTCGGAGAGGGTTGATGTACCCTGTAGGGACGCTAGCCCCCAGCCCCCGTCGGGGCACGCTACGCTCTCGCTCTAGCCAGGCCCTACCAGGCCCTTCCACTGGTATACCAGGCAGTCGCGAGCGTCCTTCGCCCGCAGCTGGCTGACCCGAGAGCGCCCTGCGGTGCCGCGCCCTGCCCTGACCCCGCACTCTGTGACTGAGGGACTCTGGGACGGTGGTCCCCGCGCTGCGCAGTGCTGCGTCCTCGGCTGCGTCCGCCCTTCGCCCTCCACACGCCCGCCGTGCGGGCACCCTCCCCTCCTCGCACGCGTTAGATGGCCGTGGCTGACCCGCGGGCTGTCCGCCCCCAGCCGCCTCCGCGTCGCAGCCGCCGCCCCCGGCCCTGGGCGAGTGTGTCTTGCAGCCCGTCGGTGCCATGACCGAGGCCATGACGGCCATGACGCTCGCAGCCGCAGCTGGCTGCCACAGCTGGCTAGCCGAGCGCGCCGAGCGAAGTCCCAGCCGAGCCAACCCAGCCAGCCACCTGCCCAGCTAGTCCAGCGACGAGCCCTTCGGCCGCCGCCGTCCGCGCCGCGTGCCCGCGCCCCGCTGCAGGCCGCCAGGTAAATAAACAGCGTCCCTCTCTCTCCCTCGCACGCAACAGAGCGGCGCGCGGCCCAGCAGCAGCCCGCTGCACGCCCTGCCTCTCTCGCACCCCTACGCCCCATGAGTGCGACAGAGACGGAGCGTCGGAGCGATCCTTCGAGATCGCTCGGCCGGGGGACTCCGCTCCAGCCCGATTCGTTCGGCTCGCTGGAGGGTGAAGATGGAGGGTAGCGCCAGCGCACGCCAGCGCGCCCTGTGGGTAGGCAACGTGGTGCCCTACCCGGCTCACGATCAAAGGGGCGGGTTCGAACCCCGCCAGCGGCCACGCTTTTTTCTTTTCCAAGCGCGATCGCCTCGTCGAGCCGCCTTGGTTTCACCACCCCTCTGGGCCCTCTGGTACTGGTCAGTTTATGAAGCGGCGGACGTGAAGCTGGCAAGCTTTCAAACTGAAAGAGTGAGGTCTGCGCTCCGGACGCGAAGCTTCCAAAGTCAAACACATTTATCGGTTTACTGCCGAGAAAGTTTTCATTGAGTTACGCGGCCGGCGGGGAGCAGCGGCGCGGTATAGTTTTTTTCCCATCCCCACCGGCTCTGCTGAAGGGAGGCCGCCGACGACGCCACCAACACCACACCGCACTGCTTCGCACTGCTTACAGGTCAGGACGCGTGAAGGCTGTCGGCGGCTACCGGGCGGATAGCGTGTATCCGTAAACAAGAGCCCGGCCGCCACAACGCACACACACGCACGGACACACACACGCACACACGCACAATCGCACACACATGGCAGGGCTCGATCGCCACGTCACGGAAGTGACGTCACATTGACGTCACGAAGCGCCCCCCGTAGTGTAAGGCCATATGACCTTACCGTAGTGAGCCCCGTCGCTCTGTCTCTCTCGCACCGACACAGAACACCCCATGAGGGCGACGGAGACAGTAGCGACGAGAAAGCACTGTTCGGAATGACCCCTCGGTGGCCAGAGCGGTGGCCAGGCTGTCAATTATGCAGCCTGCCAACACCTAATGTCTGTACTATGCCATAGCTTTAGCCGTTGTACCTACAGAACTATGTACTTTGACAATTAGTAACAATTTCCATATTGTGCTAGTATGACAGTACTAATTATGTAAAAAGTACTGTTCTGATGTACAAACGGCCATGGGTGGACATAAAGTCCGATGCCCAACATTTAGTGTGAACCCCCTTGTTAAGGCAGTGGTCACGTACGCAGCACCCCGGGTACGATTTGAGCACCGCAGAGCCTGAATAGGTCTCGAGTCAAACGCTTGAGGGTACCAATGGATTGCCCTTCGCGCGAAGGTCCCACAAAGACCTCGAAAAGTGTCTCGAGGTTACAAGCAGTCCGCTCGACGCGTGAGGGAAGCCCCTTGCCGCGTCACCCGGCCGCGTGACACCCTCTCTGTCTCTCTCACGTGGCGGGGAAGTCCTTTTCCTGCGTGCCGCAAATGTGGTGTCATCATTCGGCCACCGGAAACGGAACCGCAATGTGGTGACTATTTTCTGATCCACGCACGAAACACGATGCGGGACAACAACAAGAACGACACTACACCGCCAACGGCAAAAACAAAAACAACACGGATCCGTGGCGTGACGTCATCGTATTGACTCGTTGCCCGGCGGTAAATCAGAAGGACGGTCTGGCGACTTTGTGGCCGACTGGCTGGCTGCTTTACGGTGGCGGGCTTGAATAAAATGACAGGGAAAAGT